CGGGGCGTGCCCACCAGGATGACCAGAAACCAGAAACAGTTCCACAGCCCTGGATACATAAAGTACATTACACCACTTATTTCCTAATGTCCCACCACAGATCCAGCTTGGATCTAGGTTACCAAGTGGCACATCTTCAGCGGAAATAATATAAAAAAACTTGATCATATAAAGTTGGTAGAACATTGTGTCTGTCCAACACAATGATCCCGCGGGCGCACCACTGTTCTGGGGGACTTCCTGGCCACACAATCCCAGTAGATACTGCCAGTCAGTCAAAGAGTTTCAGGACCTGGCTCTCCTCCATGCGCTGACTGGGAAAAGCAGACAAAATCCACAATCTCCTCCACGGGCCATAATCATTGGGTAGAAGGCTAGCCCACAGTCTCCTCCAATTGTCCCTTTCCCGGTTGGGTCTGTCGCAAGCTTCACAAAGAAAAGGTTACAGAAACACCAACAGTTCCACCAAGAGAAAAACTCGAGTCATTTACATAGAAGGTGTGATTATTCCTGTCTGGTATCTTAGAGAACTAGGTAGAAAGTTCACTTTCCTCCTACAGCCTGGCTCCAGACAATATCTTGTGATGTTGTTCATGATAAAAGTAAACAAAGCTAGTTCACGGATGTATGTATTGCACAGAGGCCCGTACACTATGAACAGCCCATTTGTTTTTGTAACCCCAGCCAACAGGTGCTGGATGTAGGCAGTTCAATCATGTCTAGCTTGTCCTAGATGTTTTTTTTTTAACTTTTTGTGTTCCAACTTCCTAGTTCTGGTGACAGAGCCCTGGCCTCATCGATGCTCCCCGGGAAAGCCATGCCTCCAGTGTCTTCCTGGGAGATCCTATTCGGAAAGTGAAAGATCTCATGAGATCTCTGGAAAAACATTTTTTTAGCAAAAGATGAAAGTATTGTACTGCGCATGCGTGAAATGACATGCATGATGTCATGTGTCTTATCTCAAGTATGCGGTACCATGTTATATTACACTCATCTGTTTTAAAAAAAAAAAAATGCCTTCATACCCTCCCCTCCTCACATGCAAAGAAAATTGCTTGCAACTGAAAACTGTTGTAGCTCTACCATTGCCCAACGAATAAAATGCAAAACATTAACAATAACATATAAAGCCATTTATAACTCTGCCCCAAATTACATCTCCAATCTTGTCTCCAAATATCCCCAAACCCTCCTCTCCGCTCCTCCCACGACCTCCTGCTCTCTAGCTCCCTTGTCTCCTCCTCCCATGCTCGTCTCCGGGACTTCTCCAGAGCCTCCCCCATCCTCTGGAACTCTCTACCCCAATCTATCAGACTATCGCCTATTCTGCCCACTTTTAGGCGATCTCTGAAAACTTATCTCTTCAGGGAAGCCTATCCTGTCTTTCAGCTAATAATGGAATCTTCTATTCCTCTACCAGTCCATCCCCCACAGTTATTACCTTTTGTACCACCAGCCCCTCCCTCTTAGATTGTAAGCTCCAAGGATCAGGGCCCTCCTATCCCTCTTGTATTGAACTGTATTGTTGCTGTATTGTCTCCCGTTATATTGTAAAGCGCTGAGCAAACTGTTGGCCTATATAAATCCTGTTTTAATAATAATAATAATAATAATAATAATAATAATAATACCCCAGTAGGGGCTGCTCGATAATGCTTGTCACTGTAGTTGCCCTGACCATGCAAGCCTCCTGACACCTTTTTGGGTTCACAATTCTTTAGTAACACCTCTATATTAGGCTTGTTCAAAAGAGTAGACCACAGTATGAAGGTTTAAGAGGTACATCCTCAGTCAACACATAAAAGCAAAACACTGATGTGGAGAGGTCCCTTTAACTAGAAATAGCAACTTGAGTCCTGCGATATTTAACCACCTTCCGCCCGCCATATAGTACAATGACGAGGTGGTTCTCTCGTTCTGATAGGACGTCATATGACGTCCTTCCATTCTCACCATGCATGCCACATATCAGTGCCCATCTGAGCTGCCTTTTAATGTCACCCATTCTGCCAGTCAGTGCCACCTATCAATGCCAATCAGTGCCACCTATCAGTGCTGCCAATCAGTGCCAGTCAGTGTCGCCTATCAGTGCGCATCAGTTCCGCCTATCAGTGCCAGTCAGTGCCGCCTAACAGTGCCAGTCGGTGCTGCCTATCAGTGCCGCATATCAGTGTCATGTATCAGTGCTGCCTATCAGTGATGCCTGTCAATGCTCATCAGGGCAACCTACCAGTGCCTCCTCATCAGTGCCCATCAGTGCCACCTATCAGTGTCCATCAGTGCAGCCTCATTAGCACAAATCACTTATTTACGAAATTGTATAACAAAAACTAAGAAAAAACGTTTTTTTTTTCAAAATTTTCAGTTGCTTTTGGTTTGTTTAAGAAAAGATAAAAATCCCAGAGGTGATTAGATGCTCAAAGCAAAGATCTTCTGGAGGTGTGAAGGTGTCTGCATTCAGTGTCTTTAGAATCCAGAGTAACAGCAGGAGGTTGGGCATCTGCCTGCTCACCAGTCCCATGGATAGCACAGCCTCCTAGGAACAGGGTTCTTGCACAGGCTGTTGGCTGTTCGCAGAGAAGTACAGAGTTACTGCCAGAAGCCTGTCAGCAAGCAGAGATGACTGGCTGAGGAATGGATAGTAGAGTCCTGATGCAGAGAAGCTGCTGCAATTCCAGTGTTGCAATCAGCGTCACCGCTGTGCTGAACTGGAATGCAGTAGCCAGCAATCTGTCTCAGGAGGAGAACGGCAGTGCCCCTGTGTTTAGCTCCAAGTCCTGTACCAAGAGAGCTAGCCAATCACTTTCCGTAGAATATATCTGCTCTCTCAGCAACCTTCTCCTTTGCCAGCTCTCTGGTAGTTGTAGTTCAATCAGCACTCTGGGATACAGTATGTATTGGCTATGGGACTACAGGTCCCAAGATCCTCTGCTATCAGAAGAATTGAATCCACTCCACTAACAGGAAGTGATATAGCAGTCACAGCACTGGGCACTAGGGGGAAAAAGGATTAACCATAGTCTCATCTGTAAATGTTCCTGAATGACATAATGATATAGCCGGCACCTGGCTACATCTGCATTGGCAGTTTTGGGGTAAAGATGAACTAGCTCTTTAAATGCAATACTTTACCCACTTGCCGACCTGCCACAGTACATATACTGCAATGGGGTGGCACGTGCAGGCACAATCACTGTTGCTTTGTCATTGGAGTCAGTGGTAAGAATAGTGCCTCATATCAGTGGGAAGAACAGTGCCCCGGGGGCCGGATAAGGGCAAGCAAAGGGCCAAATTCACCCGGCAGTTTTGGTGATCACAGCTCTGGAGACACTCTTTGCAGACCCCTTTACACCTCAGTTACCAGGAGACCTTTGCTTTGAGCATTTACATCTGTTCTCTTCATTGCATTACCATTACTCACTATTGTATATGGGCCCCACCATTACTAGCAGAAGACTACTCCTATCAGGAATTTTAAACATCTCAGGAATCAAGTTGCTATTTCTAGTTAAAGGGACCTATTTGCATCTAACCCATTGTTATTTAAATTAGGGTGTCTATACCCATTTATGCCAGTATATATATATATATGCATTCCCTATTGTGACTCTCATGGCCCAGAAGGAGCTGATAAGTCAACAAACCTTTTCTTCCCCCTCCTGCTGCTGGTGTTGGAGTTACATAGTTGCAATGTACCATTTGTGTCCGTATGATGTTAACCATTTCTTTCTTTAACTCTCTCCTTCTTTCTCTCTCTCTCTCTTTTCACCTTCTTTTCTTTTTCTCCTTCTCTCTTTCTTTCTCACTCTGTCTCCTGTTTCTCTTTCTTTCCTTTCTATACTTTTCTTTATTTTCTCTCTTTCCTTCTCTGTCTCCTGTTTTTCTTCTCTCTATATTTCTCTTCCTTTCTCTCTCTCCTTTCTTTCTTTCTATATTTATCTTTCTCTTCTTTCTTTCTATATTTATTTTTTTTTTCTCTCTCTCTTGTTTCTTTTCTTTTCTCTCTCCCTTTTTTCTTTTTCGCTTTCTCTCTTTCCTTCTTTCTCTTTCTCTTCTTTATACTTTCTTTTTTTTCTCTTCTTTTCTCTTTTTTCTCTGTCTCCTGTTTCTCTTCTTTTCTTTCTCTATTTTCTTCTCCTCTTTCTTTTTTTTTTCTCTTCTTTCTTTCTCTTTCTATATCACTTTCTTTCTCTCTGTCCTCTTTCTTTTTTTTTTTTTTCTCTCTCCTTTCTCTTTCTATTTCTTCTCTTTCTTTCTGTCTCCTGTTTCTTTCCTTTCTTTCCCTCTGTCTTTCTATGTTTCCTTCTTTCTCTCTCTTTCTATATTACTCTTCCTTTCCCTCTGTCCCGTTTATCTTTTTCTCTTGCTTTTTCTCTATATCTCTTTCTTTCTGTCTCCTGTTTCTCTTCTTTTCTTTCTCTCTCTCTCTTTTTTTTTCTTTCCTTTTCTTTCTATGTTTCCTTCTTTCTATGTTTCCTTCTTTCTCTCCCCTTTCTATATTACTCTCTTCCTTTCTCTCTGTCCCGTTTATCTTTTCTCTCTCTTTTTCTCCATATCTCTTTTCTGTCTCCTATTTCTATTTTTCCTCTCTCTCTTTTTTCACTTTCTTTTTCTTTCACTTTTGACGTCGTGTTTGCGACACTTTAGGATACAAAGTCATACATGGTTTTGAGGGAACAAAGTATTTCTTCTTCAAACATTTTCTCGCAAAATATTTAATTTTCTTTGTAATAAATGTAAAACAAAACCGTGCACGTGCCAAAGTCGAACCACTTCACTGTATTTTCAGCCTGCAAAGTTTTTTTTGTGTTTGCAACCAATAAAGTTGTTGATGTAATAGAAAAAAAAGTGAAGCTGTCTGTAGGGGGGTGTGTCTTGGCAAAGGGGCGTGGGCGGTGTGAGTGTGCAGTGAGCGGACACTCTCCTCATTCATCCGGCGGCGGGACATGTTGTACTGAGCCGTACCCCGGAGACCCATCCTCCCCTTCAGACTAAGGAGAATGCTGCGGGTGTGCAGGAAGGCCCGGGCGGCGGCGCTGGCTCAGGTGAGCGGTGACGGGACGGTCTATAGCGGGTGTCGGGTATATCACTGACAATACAGGCCGCTACGTCTGACCTGTGTGACTCCCGAAACGGCGGCAGCGCACCTACACTTATCCGGTCTACACCGGCATTGCAAGGGCACAGAGCTTTCTGTCAGAGGCTGCGGGACTGAATGACTTTTGCTGTAGCCAATGGGTGCCCGCCGCTTTACCACGGTGACCAATGACAGCGCGCCGTCTTTGCATCTCCGGCCAATAAGCTTTCACGTTGAAGACCTTTCAACTTTTGTAGCGTGTTGGGCGGGACGCGTCGTGAGCGACGTGCGCTCTTGTCAAATGGTAGACGGTTTAGAAGTGATGGGCGTGCGGCTCGGCCAATGGGTGTTCAGTGTTCTTTTAGGTGAGGTAGTGGGCAGCGGGAAGAGCCCTGAGGATTGATCCTGGCATGTTCAGTGCGGGGTGATCAGTGACAGGAGGAGGGGGAGGGGAGCACCATGTGTGTTCCATCATAGCCGGGTACTCAGTGCCTGGGAACCAGTGCAGGGCAGATCTCCTCCGCCACCATCCCCAGGAGGACGTGACCTTGCCGAGTGTCCCTCCCAGACTCTGGGCCTCTGAGTCACGAGTAGGGCCTCCTTATCTCAGCCTGGGAGCAGCACATACCACCGGCGTGGCTCTGACTAAACCGGAATAATGCCTGTGCTCTAGTTGTAGGCCATTTACATACCTCCCGAAGCCTGACTGAAAACGCCCTCACAGGGGCGGACTGACCATTTGGAAACTCGGGCACTGCCCGAGGGCCCGGGGTCAGTAGGGGGCCCCATGAGATGCCCCTGGTACCTTTTTCATAGGCTTTTGTGAGTTTGGGCAAGGACACAGGGGCCCCATGATCCCCTATTGCCCGGGGGCCCCTTGAGTTGTCAGTCCATCCCTGGTCCCTCAGATATCCACCCATCCTGGCTTGTTGCTAGGACGTTGCTAAGACTCCACCAGCCCTTACTGCTCACCCCCACCGTCACAGGAGTGAGATCTGAAACGCCGATCTAGGAGCTGATAAAGTGTAGGTGAGGGATTCGAATTGAAGGAGCTCACTCTTGTGATGGTGGATGTGAACAGCAACCAGCTGGGAGCGTCTTGGTAACGTCTTAGCAACAAGGCAGAGTGGGATGATGTCATCTCTTGCAGTTTTTCAGATCAGGATTTGGAAGATGTGGGGGGGGATTTACTGAAACTGATTCACTCCAGATCTGCAGCAACTGTGCATGGGTAGCCAATCAGCTTCAGGTTGTTCAATTAAAGCGGAGTTCCAGTGAAAATAAAAAAAATTTCACTGGAAGAGCAGTGAATGTCAGCAGCTACAAAAACTGTAGCTGCTGACCTTAAAAAAAAAACACACCTGTTCCTCGATTCTGCGCTGTCCTCCCCGGAGCCCGTTTCACCTGTCCTGTGTTTCTGGTGCCGGCATCTTCAGTGTGGGCCCCTGGCTGTGATAGCTTGCGTCTTCACAGCTGGGTATGCACTGCACATGTGCGAGAAGCGCTGCGCTTTGTGAATGGCCCCGTAGTCTTCTGGGACCTGTCACGTGACCCAGAATACTACGCGGAGGGAGGACAACTTCCGATTACCTAGGTGATCGCAGTGGGAGCGGGTACATGTCTATTTTGGGTACCCGCTCCCCAAAGGTGCCAATCCTTAACGGGGAGCGGGGGACCAGTCCTTAAAGTGGAACTTCCCCTTTTGGGTGGAGCTCCACTTGCTTTCTCAAGACTTGGAAGCTGATTGGTTTCTACGCACACAGCTACACCAGATTTTGCACTCTCCGGTTTTAGTAAATAACCTTCTATATGTAGATGGCCTACACCTATAGCCAGGGCATTATTTAACTTTGGTCCAAGATGCACAGTTTGTTTTTATCTACAGATGTCCCTTAACCACTTTAATACCAGACACTTTCAACCTCTTTGTGCCCAGGCTAATTTTCAGCTTTCACACTTTGACAATTGCGCGGTCATGCAACATTGTACCCATATAATCATTTTTACCTTTTCACACAAATAGAGCTTTCTTTTGTTGGTATTTAATCACCACTGTTTTTTTTGCTAAATAAATGAAAAAGGACTGAACATTCTGAAAATACATGGTTTTTCTTAGTTTCTGTTATAAAAGTTTGCAAATAAGTTTTTTTTTCACTGATGTGCACTGATGAGATGGCACCAACAGTCAGCACTGATCAGTGAAAATGTTGTCCTGACATTTGCTAGTTAACCAATGCCGTCATGCTTTTTGGCAGTCCAGGGGCGGGTTTGTTCATAAAATTTTAGCTGCAAATAAGTAATTTTGCCCGCTTGTCCTCCAGACACAGTGAAACACCGATTGTCGGACGGGACCTCTGTACGAGGTCCCGATCATGTGATCACTGATTGGCCAATCAGTGATCACATGCAAAGTAGTACATGTGAAATCTGAATAATCACAGAGGTCACATGGTACAAGGCTATTCACAACAGCCTTGTACCATGTGACAAGCTGTGACCAATCACAGCTCACTCAGTACTTCTCAATGAAGAATGCAGACAGAGAAAAAGAGAAATGATTGCTTTTACATCCTATATGGGTGTAAAAGCAATCAGTGTAAAAAAAAAATAAAAAATCTTCATCACCCCCCACAAGTAGTACAGTGTCACCATGGTGACACTGTACTGCTAGGGTGACAGTATGTAAAAGTAATATATAAAAAAAAAATAAAAAATGTTTAAAAATTATAATTTTTGGTTATAAACTACTTTTGGATTTTTTTTTTTTACTAAAAAAATAACGGAATAAATTTTGGCCAAGATGTATGATGAAATATTATTTATTTGAAAAATTTTATTAAAAAAAACCACTTTTTTTCAAAATTTGTGGACGTTTTCATTTACATAGCAAAAAAAATAAAAATCGCAGTGGTGAATAAATACCACCAAAATAAAGCTTTATCTGTCTCAAAAAAATGGTAAAAAATTCATATGGGTACAGTATTGCATGACCGCGCAATTGTCATTCAAAGTGTGATAGCGCTGAAAGCTGAAAATTGCCCTGGTCAGGAAGGGGGTAAAAGTGTCTGGACAGGAAGTGGTTAAGGGCTCTTCTTTCTTCTCACAGACACAGCGTGAAGAAAAGGAATGCTGATAACTGGCAATCTGTTTATATGTGACCAGCTGTGATTGGACACAGCTGATCACATGGTAAAGGGCCGCTGTGATTGGCCCTTTACCCCCATCTGTAATCATCTGTGTCCAAAGGACAGGAGGAGACGCACAGGGAGGCTGGGTTCTGGGAGGACATCTATTGAATTGACACCCTCCTGGTACTGGGTCTTTCAGCTATAGCGTGGTCAGCAAGTGGTTATAGACCGCCCGCCCACAATGTACTGTGGACAGGCGGCCCATAGAGTCACAGCAACGTACCTGTATGTCGCTTGCCTATTCCGGGTACAGGGCACAGGCCCGCCAATTCCCACTGTGATTAGACATAGGGGGATTTTGTCAGCAGGTCCCAGCCAATGATTCATGGCCAGGACCTGCTGATCCGCTCTATTCAAACACAGCCTAGAGCCCTTGTGTTGACATACAACACAGAGCTCTGTACAGAGGGAACAATCTGTTTCTTCTTCTCCTGCAAAGCAGGGAGTAGGAGCAAGGAGATTTTAGTAAAAATCAACACATTACACATTATTAGACACACACTTAACCCCTTGATTACCCTGCTATGCTAACCCCTTCTCAGCCAGTGTCATTAGTACAGGGACAGTATATAGTATCACTGTATTAGTGTCACTGGTGGTGTCAGTCCCCACCAAGTGTCAGTGTCACATTGCCCGCCGCTCTCACAGTCCCACTAAAAGGTGCTAATCACCGCCATTGGTAGTATTTAAAAAAAAAAAAAATAAATAAATTCCAGTATATATTCAATAGCTTGTGGATGCTATAACTGTCATGTAGGGGTGGCTGAAAACACCCCCATCGGCCAATATGAAAAAAAGAACCGATACAGGTGCCAAAAAAACCAATGCCCCGCCCACAGTCTGCCTGCCACTCGGTAGTTCTCAGCCTTACCTGAGAAACCACCTAACGATCCCGGCGCTGAGCATAGAGATTTGTGAAGGAAAGGTGGCCTCCACTCATCTCTATGCCCTTGGAGGACCAGAGCAATGTCACTTTGGTTCTGGCGCCTTGTGAAACAAGGCCATTTTTTCTAAAGCACTCGATCTACTTGTCCCTCAATAAAATCTACTTGTCCTGATATAAAAAAAAAATTCCCAGAAAGGAAAATACAAAGGGTTGATTTTTTTTTTTTTTTTTTTTTTAAGGCAGGGGTGCTTTTAGGAATGTATAGGGCTTTTGAAAGCGAAAGGGGCCGTATGGCGACTTAAACTTTTAATGCTTTTCATATCTTGCTAGAAACTTTCCTAGAACTCTCAAAACATTTTTTTTTGAAAGCAGAGGCCCTAAAGAATTAATTGGTGGGTTTCGCAATTTTTTTTTTATGGTACATGGCATTTGCACAGCAGTTTTTCAAACACAATTTGTTTTTCTTTTTTAAATACACTTTTTGGAATTTTAATGCAAAAAAAACCCCACAATACACAACCCATTTTTTTGGTAAAATATATAAAGATGATGTTACGCCAAGTAAACAGGCACCAAACATGTCATGCTTTAACTAGTTGCCGACCGCAGATAGCCGAATGGCGGCTGCACTGCGGCCGGCCAGTTCTGGGTGGACATCATATGACGTCCTCCCAGAACGCGCTCTCCTGCGCGCCTACTGACACACAGCTGATCACGTGATGTGGTAAAAGGCCAATCACAGCGGCCTTTTACCACATGATCAGCCGTGTCCAATGACACGCTGATCACAGGGAAATGCAATTGCCGTTTCTCGGCTGCACTTTCCTCACGCTGTCAGATCGTGAGGAAAGTACTGCCGAGAACCGGCAGTTGTCAGAGCGGGGATCGGCACCG